GGTCTCGCTGCCCCATCTCACTTTTTATATTGAAATAATGTTTAAAAATGGCACATTGTGGCCCAAGTGTCATATTTTATTTCCAGGAAAGCGTTTGGGTCTAAAGTTGGCCCCATAAACTTTTGTAGAAACTAAAAAGAATGGTTACTTGCAGCCCAGATTGATTCCTTACTGGGTTATACTTGGTGATCAAAATGTACTAGCTGAATTTTGATCTACTATATTCCCCCCCCCCCCCATAATGGATTAAGTCTCCAACAAAAATGCCCAGGTGAAATACTTTCATATCAAAATAACTCAGTTCTTCTCCTGGATTTTCTCTCTCTATCCCCCTACCCCAAAGAAAAGCATTATTGTGTTCTGATTGAGGCTGGTTTTACAGCCAGGAAAAATGATACGTTTTTCCAAATAAAGAAAATCATGATTTGGGATAAGTTTATCTCAGTTTCTTATTGTCTTTCCCATTACGTATTAGTTTGTACAGCATATTCAGTGGAGGCCAGGTCTTCCTGAAATATCTCTCTAAAATAGAGAGAGGTGGGCACCTTTTAAAGCATTTAACAATGAATCCTCCTATACTGACAAGTTAATTTCTGTCTTTTCTCCCTGTTCAGCTCCAGGAAGCCCTCAGCTGCAATGCGATGCATGTGTCCTCTGTATGATCCGCACAGACAATTGTGGATAGAACTGGCTCCTTTGAGTACACCCAGGATAAATCACAGTGTACTTTCTGCAGGTAGGAAAAATCCTTCCCCCCCCCCATTAATAAAAGAGGATATAAATCTAATGCTTTTAAATATTTATAAAGTGAAATAGTCTTTTAGCTACTTTGGATCAGATCCTGGGCAAATAATAACCAGTGAATAATTAAGTAGGTGACTCTCTCTAGTTTAGAGGGAAAAGCACGGGAGCAAGAAGAGGGAAGGAGCCAAGGCCATATTAGTTTTGCCAGGCCCGTGTGGTATGTAAAATAAATAAATAAATGTTTGATGAGGTGTTCAGGGCATCATCTGTTTTTATCTAATAAATACAAGCCAACATCCAAACAAGAGCAGTGGGGAATTTTATGTGCGCAAACCCTTTCAGTTTTTTATCCCCTTACTATTGTATTCTAAGAGGTGTGGTAAGTTTCGTGTGTGTGTGTGTGTGTGTGTATGTATGTATGTATGTATATATTTGTTCCCTTCCCAATAGCAGCATCTGCAGAGGGCACATATTTGGTGCAAGTTAAAACAGGCAAGATGGTAGACACAGCATCACAGTCCAATCCCCACCCTTTTGTATGCACATAAAATATGGGTGCAAGTATAAAAAAGTTGGGGCTTGGATTGCGGTACTGTGTGGCCATCTTGTCCATTTTGATCAGTCCTTTGTAGATGCTGCTATTTCCCACTCAGACATTTGCATACAAGGAAGTACTCTAAACATGCACATCCTTGTCTTAGGAACCCAGTCATATTGTATATACTTTGCTAATTTTTTTGTTTAATATTTCTTCAGTAACTATGAATATAGTCTCACAAGAACCGACACTGTTTTTTTTTCCTTGCCTTTTTATATGTAACTTAAGGCAGTGAACATACCTAATACTTCTGCCTCTTATTTTCCCCACAGCAACAACCATGTGAGTTGAGTTGGGCTGAGAGAGGGCTTCATGCCTAAGGGAGGCTTAGAACTCAGTCTCCTGGTGTCCAGACCAGCACCTTCACCACTACATCAAACTGGCTCTTTTACTTTTTTGAAGTAATCCTTGTGGCCTTACACATTCTCTTTGGTGCCCAATAGAAACTTGTTAAACATCTTACAGACAGTAATTAGGGGTATACATTGTATTAAACCATGGTTTTCTTAACCATGTTTTGCAAACCACAGTGGCTATGTTCACAAAACATACTAAGCCAAACCCAAGCAGATACATGAATAGTTTAGTCTGATGTCCTGCTTGGTACCCACTGCATGTGTTGGATTAATCCCTCATGCCCACTGAGATAATTGCAATTGTAGTCCAGCATATCAGTGGTCAGGCTCATGGCAAGATCTTGGCAAAATTTTCTGGAGTTGGTTAGGCACTAGACTCAGACTCACCTTATGGTTCTGATACACAACATGGCATGGCTGGACAGGAATCTTATTGCCTGCTAGGAAGAAGTCACTAAAATGGTTGATTATGTTTGGTCAGATGGAGATGTAGTACCTTTTCATAGTCTCAGTAATTGAATTCTGGTGCTTCGTTCTCTCACCATTCATTTGTTGATCCTTCTTATAAAATGTATATGCTTAGCTCGATGTGCCACCATTATGAATTGTGTTTTAAAATATATCTTTATGGTCTGCTTCTCAGAGGGATTCCTGTTTGTCCTCGGAGGTCAAGATGAAAATAAAACTACACTAAATTCAGGTGAAAAGTATGATCCAGATACCAATTCATGGAGCCCTTTGCCACCAATGACTGAGGTAGCTTTAAATTTCTGGGAATGTTACTTTTGTTGTTTATATGCTCCATGGTTTGTATTGTCATCTAACAAAAATTGTAGTTGATTAAGATTTCGTTCTTACGTCACATATTTCCAATAGGCACGGCACAACTTTGGTCTGGTCGAGATTGATGGAGTGTTATATGTTTTGGGAGGTGAGGATGGAGAACAAGAGCTCATCTCCATGGAGTCCTATGACATTTACAATAGGACATGGACAAAGCAACCAGACCTAACCATGATTAGGAAGGTAAGAGGCAAGCAAAAGGGAAAAGTAAGCTGGTGGTGTTTCTTTCTGAAACTATTTCTTTCTCCCACTTCTTTTCTCTCTTTGATTTTTGTTTGTTTGTTTACCTAAAGGTTTAGAGGTTGTTTTTTTAACTAAAAGACTCTTACTAAGTATACAGTTAGTGATACAAAACAATAAGCCATCATTTCCTCAGTTTTCCTTCCTGTACTGTCCCCCAATCCACAAGAATCTGTTTCAAAAAAGAAAGATGCACTTGAATTAAGATATCTTAAATGTCTCTGTGGCCTATTTCCACTTTGTCTTAAAGTGCCTGAAATGAACTAATTGCCGTTAACACAGATTTAAAACCAAACAAAGGAATCCCTTCTGCAAGCATTACTGTCTAATAAACAAGACACAAGAAGGAAAAAGGAACAAGGAAGAAATAAAGGAAAATTAAGTACTGATTGAGGAAATTATTTATTTATAAGTCATAGTTATAAAGCTTCCCGAAGTCATTGTTGAGTTGGCTGGCTTTATAATTAAATAAATAAATCCCTAAAGTTGTCTTGCTGCAACTTTGGATCAGGGACTAGAAGTACCAACTAGAGTTTGGTCTCTCAATCAGCTCATTGAAGATAGGAAACTATGGCCATCCAGATGTTATTGGACTCCAACACCCATAAATTCCAGCCATAATAGCTAATATTCAAGGATGATGAGAATAGTTCTCCAGCTATGTTTTCTGAGGGCTGCAGGTTCTCAATTCCTGGTGGTGTAGTGCTCATTCACTTGTCTCAGAAATCCTGGATTTTTCCCTGACTTGATACTGTAAAGATTGTGCATAGTGATATCATGTAATGCGCTCAGAATAACTTGTAACTTTTCTTGGTAATCCTTTCAGCCAGCTGGTTGGCTAGGACAGAATTGTGTGCGTATGTATGTGTGCGTCTTTGAGTCAGTGTTGACTCCTGGCGACTGCCTGGACTAGTCCCTGCAGTTTTCTTGGCAGGATTTTGGAAGTGGTTTACCATTGCCTCCTTCCTAGGGCTGAGAGAGAGGGACTGGCCCAAGGTCACCTAGCTGGCTTCATGGCTAAGGCGGGACTAGAACTCCTGGTCTCCTGGTTTCTAGCCTGGTGCCTTCACCACTACAGCAAACAGAATTACTTTTTTCAATATTGGAGATATTGCCTCCTACAATAAGGGAGGGAAAAACCCCCCCAAGGCTAGCTCTTCTATCTCCTGTGTGTAGTGCACATGTTGTATTTGCTTTCCTGGCTGTTTTGCAAAACAGCAGAGCTATTGGGACAAGGGGAGACCATTCTGGCCATCAGAACATCGTTTTTCCTGCATTTAAACTCCTACTGAAAGCTATGATATTGACCTGATTTTTTTTTCAGTCAGATGCAGGTTGCTGCAGCCAGGTGCAGTGTTAGGGTTTTTTGGTGGTGGTGAGGCTGATTTATGGCTTGCTTGAATCGAGATGCAGAGTGGTAGGATAGGCCAAGGGTTTGGTGTCTGCTTCTTATTGGAGCGCTGTCGTTGTCTTAAATTGGAAGTTGCAAAACTGTCCAGAAGTCTTGAGACTAGGTTTGCTCCTTGGCTGTTTGGGAAACCTACGAGAAAACCTGGAGTTCAAGTAGCAAGGCACCATTTCCTACAAATGGTAAAATGACCTCCTCCTGAGCCCCAGTGCTGAACTCCAGCATTGCAAACAGCAAAATAGAAATTTTGCAGTTTGAAGTTTTTTACAGCTGACTCAGAAGACAATCAGCTGCCCAGGGGGGAAGACCTCATAGGAACACAGTGGTACCGCATCAAAGGTCTATGTGAAAGTGCTCCAAGTCCACTTAGTGGATTCTTGACTCCAGTTGAATTAAAGGCACGATTGTGTAAGTAAATTGCTCACTGAGAGCCATTATGCTGCGAGAGATCTCACTCATTTTCACAGCAGTTCTCTCCCTCTCTCTTAACTTTCAAAAAAATAAACAGAAACCACATTCCTTGGACTGCCAGACAGAATAGGAAACATGATGTATTATCCAAGCCTCCATGTTGATGTAGCTGCTGCAGCTGCCAAAAGGTTTTACACCATATATTAATATAGTAAAAGGATGTTTTCGTTGCTGATTGTTGTGTTGAAAAAAGTGAAGCAGAGACTGGAGCCAGATCTTCTGTTAGCTGCTTAAAGCTTAGCAGATGGGCCTTCTGAGCAATTTCTACCATTGCTTGTTTCAAGAGGGTTATCCTAAGCAAAACAAGGGACATGCTTTCAGTGTTTGCCTCATTTTCAATACAGATCTGTCCCCACCATCTTAACAGCCATGTCAGGTTTCGTAACATCTTTTGGAAAGCTAGCAGTAGCTTCATATGAAAGACCTCGCCCAGCCAGTTAGACAAAAATAAGAGGAAGAGGTTTATTTTGTTCAGTTCATGTTGTTCTTCCCTGTTGTTTGGCCTCAAAGAAGATCCAAATGCTTCTCCCAAGTACTTTTAAAAAGCCACTAAAGCTGCAATTAAACCAGACCAAGAGCTCAAGTCCAAAAGTGGCCTCATACCTACCACCTAACACTGTCTTAAAAATTGCATCTCAAAGGACATACTGAAAGCTCTTTTGGTGGTTCCAGAAGAGTTCTACAGTTGATGCTGAGGATGGAATCCCAAATAGTAAGCTTCTTCACTGGTCATGCTGTTCTTCATATCTGGTGAGAGCAACACTAATGGGCTTCTGAAAATTATCTCAGCATCTAGGCAGTGTCCGATAGTGCAAATGGTTCAAGAATAATTGGGTCATGTAAACCTTGGAGTCCAGTCTTGTATACAAGTAGAGGAGTCCAGAGCAAAGCACCAAGCAAATGGTTGCCTAGCTTCCAGTTGAACTTGTCAAATCAGCAGGAGTCGGTGGAATCTCCTTGACAGAAAGTATCAGTCCCCAAAGCTAGAAAGCAGGGGTATGCAGCTGTTTCTTTATTGAGGCCCACCCTTAGCCTTTAACTAACATGCAAGATCAACCCAAACGTACTCTTTACCTGCTTCTAGCAGCTAAGTCAAGTCTTGCCCACCAATATTTGGATGATGTGTCACTTGAAAAATGCAAGGATAGAACTAGTCTATTGTCCTGTTTGAGAAGGACTCTGACAACATTCTCACACTTAGAAAACGACCATGGGAAATCATTCTACTCAGATTTGCAGGATTTTATCTGTTTTATAAGTAGCATAATGAATACCTGTGTGGATATATAGAAAATTTAAATTGGAATGGCTTGATAAATGAATGTGAAAGCTGTTGTGTGTAGTGCAATATAATATAATATAAAAATACTGTAATAAAGTTTAACAAATGGAAAAAATGATATGCAAGGGCTGCCTTCCAAAAGGTAGTAGGTGGAGCCAGGCCAGGAAATCCACTTCATTTCATTGGTATTTTAAATTAACCAAAATGTCCCTATTACAATTACTGTCTAGTTGTGCCTTTACTAGCTTTCCCCTGCTGTTACTTTAAAATATATTATTTTGGCAACAACTTTGAGATCTTTTGAGGCAACATTTGAGGTCTTGCAGTTTTGGGAGCTCCAGTTGTTCCCTTTCAATATAAAAGGTTTTAATAGTCAAAAACAGGAAGTTGAATTGTTCTGGGAAGCCGAGTGGAGGCTGATGAAAGAGTAGTTACAGAACTTAATCCTGCGCTTGATCAAATCTTGCTTACTGGGATGGGCTTTGCAGATTTTTACCATCTCTTCAAATCTGGAACCTTGGTCTCTATCATCCTGTATGACTTTTGATAAAATAAAGTGGGAGAAAGGAATAATAGAAAAGGACACTTTTTAATTGGCTGGCTGTCTCAAGATTCACTGTTCTTTAAGTAGTTTGGGGGATTGCCACCTTCATGAGGAAACACCTGCTTGTTTCATTTATCAAAGCAACACCTGTCTGTTTCTTTCATGTGTCTTGAAGCAGAAATACGACCTCAACCTCTCTTGCAGGTTTGACAGTTGGTTTACTGCACCTTTTTTCCATGTTCTGCCAACTTGGCTGCAAGGAGGCCTCAAAGCCAGATACAATCAATCAAAGATTGAGACTGCTCAAAACATTGCAAGGCTTTTACATAAGGAATAAAATCCTGGTCATAATCTAGCACAGTTGCGTTCTTCACGTTGGTCACAACAGAAATTTGTCTGCACACCTTTTTCTTTTCTTCTTTTCTTTTCATGGTATAAGAAGCCAAAATGCTATGTGAATCTAATGTAATACAAGATGCAAGTGTTAAGTGACAGGATGTCTTTAGAAAACAAGAACAAAATACATAAGAGCATATTATAGCTGATTAAATTCTTTCCAGGCAATACAGGAAGAGAAATAGCCCTTAAATTGATACAGAGGAAAGCTGAATTTCAGAAGAGCCATCTTGTTGGAGTTGCCTTCATATGTTTCAGATAGTGATCCAGATCTCCAAGCATTTACTGTGTGGACTCTTTTGTTTTTCTTTTGAATTGTATCAGGGATGGAATCTTCTAACAATCTGCTGATTAAGGCACCAGAAGACTTCCCCTTCCCCTCTAGAAGCTCATCATTTGTGTTCCTGTGGTGTTACTCCCTTTTGTTCTGTCCTTATTGCAGAATGACTCGCACCTTACTGTGTGTAACGGATGTTGTACATTTTCATTTTTAAGATTGGTTGCTATGCAGCTATGAAAAAGAAGATCTATGCAATGGGTGGTGGTTCCTATGGCAAGCTCTTTGAGTCTGTGGAATGTTATGACCCGAGGACTCAGCAGTGGACGGCCATCTGCCCACTGAAAGAGAGAAGGTTAGTAAAATATTAGGATTTACTGCCCAGATTATTAGATACATCCACCATCTCCTTAATGTCCTAAATCATCCAACATTCCACAGATTAGGCCTGGGTATTCTTATCAGTCTTGGGTTTAAGCATTAACCTAGTCATAATAGGCTGACTAAAAATTTTGCTCGGATGAGTAAGAAGTCTGCGAAAGGGTGGGGTCCCTTTGTCCTTCCTTGTCTTTGGTGAAGGCACTTTCACATCTAACCTGCCAATAGACTAGCATCCTGTATTTCTTTGCAGGCTATGGAGAGGGAATAAATGGCATCTTGGTTGGCTAAGATTTTTTTCTTCTTCTTTTACTTTTTAAAGCTTTTTAAAAAGCCATGTTTACATATTTAACTCAAGCTTATTTCTTGCCACACTAAGATACCGTCCCGCCACACTATGACATTTTTGGCTCTTCGTAACTGCCTGGACTTGTCCCTGCAGTTTTCTTGGCAAGGTTTTTCAGAAGTGGTTTACCATTGCCTCCTTCCTAGGGCTGAGAGAAGGGGACTGGCCCAAGGTCACCCAGCTGGCTTTGTGTCTAAGGCAAGACTAGAACTCATGGTCTCCCGGTTTCTAATCTGGTGTCTTAACCACTACACCAAACTGGCTCTCACTATGGAATTACTGAATGCTTTTCTTCAGCTGCTCTATGTGATTGACCATAATGGTTATCATTTTTTAGAGAACAAAAAGAGTGTGTTAGCGATTTAGCTACATTCAGATTGGGTCCCTATTTTGCCCTAAGTAGGATGGGCAAGTGCTTTTTCTGCTACCTCCAAGGGCTACAAATGAGCAGGATTAAAGTGTTCAGCCTCTAATGGAAATTGACTTCCATGCCACTGTGATAGTGTGTAAATTAATCCATGGCCAGAAACATTATTACGGACATAAAAAAAAAAGAATGTCTAGAAAGTTTAGTGAGATTCTGTAGACTAAAGTAAAAAGATGCTGAGCTAGCATCTTTGTAAACAAAAGATTCCCATCCTTCAGACTTTGCCTAGAAACAGGATCTTTGTAAGATAATGTGAGCTATGCAGGAGAATAAGAGGTAGGAGCAGTAAAGCAGAAGTTTACCGCTAAGGAAGTACTCCTACAAAAGCACATGTGGGGTTGGGTGAAATAGCTAGGATAACATTAGATGTGGTTAGTAACATAAGTGCTGAGTTAACATCCATGCTTACATTTCTCATCTTAAATTGTTTTTCAGATTTGGGGCGGTGGCATGTGGAGTCGCTTCAGAGCTCTATGTCTTTGGTGGAGTAAGAAGCCGTGATGATAATCAAACCAGTGAGATGGTGACGTGCAAATCTGAATTCTACCATGATGAATTTAAAAGGTAACCATTTTCTATATAACAGAGTCTAATGAACTCTTGACAGTTGGCTGTTATCTTGTTTTGTCCCTGGCAACTTCATTGTAGAGCTTAACAAAACTGAACCTGGGGAATTGCCAATTGTTTTCCTTCTAGCCAATAAAAGTCTTCTTTGATTGATTATCTCTGCAGATAATCTTTCCCAGTCTTGTCACTTGATATCTCCTTTTCTTGGCTTGAAACCTGGACCTTTGGCAAAAGAAGTAAATAATTGTTGAGGCTCTTCCCCATCAAAGAAAATGCATCTTGTGGCATTAGTACATCTGAGTGCAAACTCCCCCCCCTGCAATAGAAAGATGTGAGTGCTAATAGATGTCAGCCAGCTTGATTTTTCAACTAAATCTACAATGATTTATAAATCGCATGGTTTCCAGTTCTTACTTTTGTAGAGTTATACAAAGCATTTAGTAGCTTCACAGAACATGTTAAGTGCAAGCACAGCATCCCTCCTCGAAGCATGAAATCAGCTGCAAGCAGCCTTTGGAAGGCTCATGTGCTGCTTTGAAGGCTGTCCCTAATTGTCTGAGGATGCATATAGATAACTCTTCCTTTGGGTCAGCCAGGTTAAGAAACAGACCCCACAGGGATTCCTGGAATGCATTGTTGCACGACAGTGTTTTTCAAACTTGGCTAATTCCCCAGCCATTCTGGGGGTTGAAGTCCACACATCTTAAAGTTGACAAGGTTGAGAAATACTGTTGTAGGGTATAATAGCAGAATCTTGAAAGCCTGTCCAAGTTTCTCTGTGCCCCATCTTAAACTAAATAACCTCAATGCAGGTTTATTTTGAAGTTCTTTCTCATCCTCCCTTCTATCTCTGGACCGTGGGATCTCTTGTCCAAGACACTTATTAATGGCTTAGGTCAGCTTGAAATTCCTTTACACCCTCAAACTTGCTGCTGTGCATTGACACACACCTGAAGACAGCCAGAGACAGTCTTCAAAGCAGCTGTGTCAGGCCTCTCAAAAGGCCCTGTTGTTTTCATGCTTCAAGGAGGAATCCTTCACTTGCTCCAGTACCCTATGCAAACAGCCTCTTCTGAATTCTTTGCACAACCCTAGTAGGTTATACTTGAAATGATAATTTGAATATAGGAATAGTGGCACATTAATCATCATGTAATTTAAACTTCCTGTGCTGAAGACATGGTTGTGGTCATTACAGTATCTTTTTAAATGCAATACAGCTTATATCTCTGTTAACCAGAAGAGGGTGCCATTGTACAGGTTGATAGCTTACTCCAACAGTACTTACTCTAAAAGAAGCTGTCAGCTGTAGGATTTCAAGAAGATGGCTACTAACTTATTAGAAGAGATCTGTTTCTATCTCTTATGGTGGATCGTTGAATAGACTTTTGTGTTGTGACTCTCGTGTTTCATTGTCGTTGAATTCCAAACTTTTCTTGAATGGGTCACTTCATAGATGTGTATCTCCTTAACCCTGCACCAATACGTTTTCTCATTTCAAAACACATGGTCTCAAATAGACATATTGAAGAATTGATGCAGGATACTTCACTGCCTGATACTGGGGGAGCAGGGAATTGAACCCGTTGCAATTGCCATCATTTGGGTCTGGGCATGTAATATTCAGGACCAGGACAGAGATTTCGGCAGAGGTGACAGACAATGCCACAAGCACCACTTCCCATAAAATATGACGTACAATATATAGCAACAACAAAAAATACTTTGCTGTCCTTTGATCATGCTCCAAATCTGCTGCCGGAGGTGGCCGTGTCACTCTGTCTCATGATTGGGCTGGCCCTTGGATGAATATTCTGTTCTTCGAAAGAATCCTGTCCAGGCTCTGTAGCTAGGCATTGTAAGAAAGTGATGAAAACAATACAAAAAGATTCTCAGATTAAACTGCCTTTATGCTGCTGACGAGCTTAGTTTAGCATGGTTTATTGTACCTAATGGCACTTCTTTGGGATTCAAGCTAGAAATATTTTCCAGAGGTGCTTCCTGAAATACTTTGATCAGGAGGTGCAGGAAGTTGAATGCCAAACCTTCTGCATACAGAACTTGCATTCTGTCACTGATTCACCCAGCATATGAATGTTGGCCGCTCTTAAATAAAACGTTAACTTCCCCACACAAAAAGTGGAGCATTGGCCAAAACAGGAAGTACATAATCTATTTCTGGTGCTTTCAGCTGCAAATTCTATAAAAGCTGTATCCACCTGTCTGCTGTAACATGAAATGTCTTGCATGCAGCAAAGGATTTTGATAATAGCTATCTGCTTCTCCAGCGAATAGGTGACCTCAATGTGAAGTGTAGCATCAGTTTTAAAATCCTACAAAGGAGCATAAGTGTATTTTGTACTGCATGAGAAAATTTGTGAGGTAGATACTTTTTTCTAGGCACTACTAATTACTGAACAAATTTTCACCTGCTCAATTTTATGCAGATGGATCTATCTGAGTGATCAGAATTTATGCATCCCAGCCAGTTCTTCGTTTGTGTATGGAGCTGTGCCCATTGGGGCCAGTATATATGTGATTGGGGATCTTGATACAGGTTAGTGGCTAAACAGGTAACGTACTTGTGTTGTTGTTGTTTTAATCACATATCACATTGCTACAAGATAGGCTTGTAGAACTTCTCAGGGGTCATCTTACATTTTAGTAGTACTGCTGGATGCGTGAAACACAATTGTCTTCTTGTTTAAAGATTTAAACTCTTCTGTAGTCAAGCTGCAAATATATTATGACTGGATCACAACATGGTCAGTACTATTCCAGTTAAGTGCCTTGTGGAAAGCTACACTGATTTATAAGTTCTGCCTTTAATCAACACAATCAATTGTGTTAAATATTCCATCCATACAACAGGATGATATGTCTTTATTTGACACATCGTAGTAAGCCACAATGTCATTCATCTATTTTTCGCTTAGTGCAGTGTGGGAACATAACTATTATGGTTTAGTATGATATGTCGATCTGGCCATTATGGTTTATTCAACCGTCCCTTTTTTTTTTTAAAAAAAATAGCGTTATGTATAAATTTATCCTTTTATAAAGTTAAAGCAGGGAAGCAAATGACAGAAATGTTTACAATATTTCCATCTTGATGTTTCAACCTGTTGTCCCTTTCTGGTGATACACCAGAACTGTTCTCATCAAATTGAAAGCAATACAATTTGGGCAATCAAAAAACCAAACCAAACCACTAACAGTTCATTGTAGAGAAGAAGCCATGACAATCTTGAACCCAAGCAAATACAGTCAGGTCCAGAAATATTGGGACATTGACACAATTCTAACATCTTTGGCTCTATACACCACCACAATGGATTTGGAATGAAACAAACACAATGTGCCTTAACTGCAGACTGTCAGCTTTAATTTGAGGGTATGTACATCAATGTGCAGATAAAAGGCCCAGAGTTCATTTCAAGTGTGCTATTTGCATTTGGAATCTTGCTGTCAACTCTCAAGATAAGATCCAAAGAGCTGTCACTATCAGTGAAACAAGCCATCATTAGGCTGAAGAAACAAAACAAAAACTCTCAAGATAAGATCCAAAGAGCTGTCACTATCAGTGAAACAAGCCATCATTAGGCTGAAGAAACAAAACAAACAATGTGCAGATAAAAGGCCCAGAGTTCATTTCAAGTGTGCTATTTGCATTTGGAATCTTGCTGTCAACTCTCAAGATAAGATCCAAAGAGCTGTCACTATCAGTGAAACAAGCCATCATTAGGCTGAAGAAACAAAACAAAAACTCTCAAGATAAGATCCAAAGAGCTGTCACTATCAGTGAAACAAGCCATCATTAGGCTGAAGAAACAAAACAAAAACTCTCAAGATAAGATCCAAAGAGCTGTCACTATCAGTGAAACAAGCCATCATTAGGCTGAAGAAACAAAACAAAAACTCTCAAGATAAGATCCAAAGAGCTGTCACTATCAGTGAAACAAGCCATCATTAGGCTGAAGAAACAAAACAAAAACTCTCAAGATAAGATCCAAAGAGCTGTCACTATCAGTGAAACAAGCCATCATTAGGCTGAAGAAACAAAACAAAAACTCTCAAGATAAGATCCAAAGAGCTGTCACTATCAGTGAAACAAGCCATCATTAGGCTGAAGAAACAAAACAAAAACTCTCAAGATAAGATCCAAAGAGCTGTCACTATCAGTGAAACAAGCCATCATTAGGCTGAAGAAACAAAACAAAGAATCCCATTGAGCATGCATTTCACTTGCTGAAGACAAAACTGAAGGGAAAAGCCAAAGATGTTAGAATTGTGTCGATGTCCCAATATTTCTGGACCTGACTGTAGTTTCCAGTGGCATGGCCTTTAGTTAAGTATCCTTCCAGAAGGAGACAGCCAGTAAAAGCTCCTACCGTGAGAAGTTCATTTGTACCAATTATGGAAACTGCTAAAAATGCCATCGGATTTGCATTTGTTTTTTATGTTCATTACAATTGTTGGTCAATACCTGTTTGGATGCTCAGAGCAGATATTTCTACCAATGGATTATGGTTTCCAGCGGTCTTCATCAGGTTGGCACAGAGAGCCAACAGACTCTGAAAAACCTTCAGCTGAGTCTCTGCTGCCTTTCCTGAATCATACAGAGTGTGTTTCTCTTATCTTCATAAACAGGATCATTAGAAATTATGTCATAAAATGGCGCCTCAAAGTCTTCCATTACTAACCATGCGTCTGGCAACTTCCCAAAAGATTTCAGTTCAGATGCCTCAATACCAGCCACTTTGCAAGAGACAAAGCGATTCACATCTTATTCTTTTATTATTCCATAACCTTTTAAAATAAACACTTTAAAAGCAGATACATAATTATTATTCTAGGGATGTGAATAGCTCACTTGTGAATAGTTCACTTAGTTTTTAAATACTCCCCTTTTTTAAATGTCATACTCCTTAATGATTACTTCTTTCTGGTGTATTAGTGTTATAGCAAATAAGGGAAAGTTTGTTTTTGTTTTTTGTTTTAAAAACCAAGTTCGCTTACAAATGCGATTCTCATCTTTATTTACATCTGCTTACTTTGTAAAAGTTGCCGGAGCTGCTTTACTGAACACATGGCTACTGAATTCAGTTTTGCTTTTCATTTTCAGAGCTGTTTCTTAGATGCTGTAACTGTAAATTGTAACTTCTCAAACTAACACTACTATTTGATAGGTACCAGTTACGATTACGTTCGAGAATTCAGAAGGAGCACTGGAACCTGGCACCCTACGAAACCTCTCTTCCCATCAGATCTTCGCCGGACCGGATGTGCACCTTTGCGAATAGCCAACTGCAAACTCTTCCGTCTCCAGCTCCAGCAAGGGTTGTTCCGGATCCGTGTTCCTTCTCCTTGACCGGTCTTCACACAGCTGGGAAGAGCGTTAGAGAAAGCCCATTGTAATGATATAGCTTTATATAACGGAGAAACAAACATCTTGCAGCAGAAATTTAAACAGTATGCTCGGCTTTGGTATGGTAACCGTTCTAACTTTTCTTTAACTGCTTAAATGCTTAAGCCTCGGCCTTTGTTTGGAGCAGCTCACTGCAGACTGAAAAATTGTCAGGGAGGCAACGAGAGGCCCAGTTATTTAAATATATTAAGCCATGCTGCTGGGACCATTTCTTTGTTTCCAGTGAAGAACAGTAGTGTAAAAATGGAAACCTGTTGAAATGGGGGAGCATCTGCAGGATGTGTTTTCACTGAGGGGGAATGGTTGTGAGTAACAGTGTGGTGCTCACCTTGGGGAGCATTGGTGGTACAAGAAATACTGAATGAAAATCAATCTCTCTGTGATGCCAAAAGAGACTTTTAACTCCACTAGGAGAAAAATGGGCAACTGAACCTTTATTTCACAGCTTTCCTTGCAATTTGAGGCCTCTGCCTAAAAGGACAGAATTATATGTAAACCATTGTTCACTGTGTTTCATTCCTGGGAATTTTTTTTTTAATTGAATGGACTAAACTAAACCAAGCTAAGCATTGTACTACAAAAGGGAACTAAATATTACACAGATCTTTGTTATTTGTGGATTATCATGCAGCCATTGTAGATCTTAGTAATGGGTCTCAAATCATGAGATGAATTTCAGAAGTGCCATATGAATGGGGCAGATAGCACATATTTGGGGGTAGGGGCGGGAGAGTGATAACGCAAGGAGGGTATTCCCAGACACTTTGGATGAAAGATGCTGCAGTTTTCCAGGAGTGAAAACATTCCTAACAGTAGTAGTACAGAAAAAAGGGAAGAAAGGCAGAAGGTTGGTTTTTATCTTCTTGCAGAGGAGGTGGGGGGGGGTGAAACTATTAATACATTTCAGACACTGTCTGGAGAATTATATTGGGATCAAACATTGGTGTAAAAATTACCTCTTTCTAAGAAAATTGTGCTGAATATTGTTAATACAATTACAGTGAAGGTTTTATTTTTTCCATTTTTTAATTTTATTTTTTTGATCATAGATATTAATATTTAATTAAAATATGGATAATTTGCTAGTGACAATACTGTTTACCTTTCTACTTAAACGTTATTTTGTTACGTTGTTAGTGACGCTCTATAACCTAAAAGCAAAAAAGGGGTTACACAGTTGTAATATTCCATAGTCTTGCACTGCAGTTTCTAGAAATGGTGTCGTTGCAACAATGGCATTGTTTTCCGTTGTATATGTTTCCCCAGTAATGCATATTATTGGGCCAAATGTTTACAGTAATGTGAATCCAGTGGAATTTCTGTTGATGTCTTAGAGCAGAGAGTGAGCAAAGGTGGCTTCCAGAAGTTCCTGAAATACAGCTTCTGTCATCCTTCATTGCAGAAGGCTGGGGCTTCAGCAGTTGTGGTTCCATAATATGGAGGTCCACATCCTCCCCACCTTATCTTAGAAAATCCATATATTGACAGGAAGGCTGTACTCAGTACACAACAGCATGACTGACTATAATATCTGGGTTCAAAATCAAATACTAAGCACATTTTAAAGTTTTGTGTATATTGAGAGAAGAGATCTGCTATGCATTCCTCTGTATATCTACTCACAGATATAAAGCCCGTTAAATTTGTTGAGGGCTTGTTTTCAGATCAGAAGCACATGCTTACCGTGTCCTCCGTGGGTTAGCTGGATCTTGCTCATCCTTTACAAAAATCAAATCATGTAACATTTAGATAAAGGATATATTGCACACATTCAAGTCACAAGAAGGGGCTGCAAATATTGCTCCAAAGTTTTGTTTTGTTTTTTGACATCAGAAGCTTTGTGGAAAGTTTGAAAGCTTGCCCCTTGGAGTATTCCATCTTCTCCCAAAGGCTCTTAATGGTTCTCTCTGCCTTAGTGAAATACATGTCCTTTTGTTCATAGCAACTGTTTCCCCTCCTCACAATCCCCACCCACCTTGCCTTCCAGTTTAATACATAGGGCTTCTTCAGGGACACTCACAGCAAAAGGTCTGCAAGGGTTCTCTTGAGTTGTTTCTGGCTCTCTCAGTTTACTAATATCCAAAACCTAGAGAACGATCCAGTTGGGTCTTTATAAGTTGTCATTCCTTGGGATTCTCTCTAGTATCATTCCAATGGGAGCAAGGGGGAAAAAATTGATTTGAAAGTATAAAAGAAATAACAGACAAGAAAGATGTGTGTGTGGCCTGCTTAGTTTGGGGGAATGTGCTAAATGTTAGGTGATCATCCATCCGGTATTCTATCCTTTTTATTGGAACAATTTCTCATTTTGGGTGGAAAATTTTGGGTGCATTTTCAATTCTGCCATTTTTATGTTGTTGTTTTTTATTGTCTCTCCTCCATTGGAAGTCCTCAGCAGGAGCATTTTTTTCTTCCTTTGACCCAAAGCTCTCTCTTTCCCCAAACAAGCCCTCCTCTAGTTCTTGAAAGTGATTGTGGCCAGCTGGAGCTTACACCGTGCTTTATCTGTCAGATGGTAACTACCTGCTTCAGAAGGAAGACTCCATACTTTCGAGCCTAATAATGTTAGAATGGATCTTTGATTGGTTTCCTTGAGAATTCAAAGGGCTTGGGGTTAATTTCTTTTTAAAATATTAAATACAAGTTCCTTGCTAAAAAAAAAAAAAAAAGTGTCAGGAAATATGCAAATATCCAAATAGGGTGTTTTTCTTTCTTTTTCTCTGGAAGCCAACTTTTGAATTTTTGCATTGGGGATAACGTACAGTGCTTCAATGACAGTAGAGTAACTTCATAGCACTGCATTAAGGGGTACAAGTCCCCTAGTTGGACGGAGGGGCAGTTAAAATATGACTGATAGTTGCTTGCGAGAGCATATAGCATCCCAAAACAAATTAAGTCAGTGCCATTCTAGAAACTAAAAGACTTTTCATAGAGGAACTTCCGTTGGACAAGGACATTCAGCTAGTTCGATTCATTTGCTGGCCTTGGATAACATTGTCATTCGTAGGAGAAGGTTTTGCTGTGACTCATTATGATTTCCGTCAGTCTGTAGGAATATTTTCCTGACTTGTGATCTTGGGCCCAAACTAGATGTTAAGCCAGTCAATCTGCATCTTAAACTCAAGTTGCTGTTGCCTCGCCTTTATGAAGCAGGGTTATGATGATGATTTAAAAGGAAGAGATTTTCCCCCTCAAATCAATTCTCTGTGTCTGTGTTTCTGCTGGGGAGAAGCAGTTTAAGAAGAAAAGGACAAAGGAAATTTTTGTCTCCCATGCTGCTTTATAAATGTTTGCTATATTTAGTTTTATTCTTTAAACGTCTTGGTTTTTTGACTTTGTTCTTTTTTTTTTTAATTTCCATTGGGTTTTGCCCTGAAAAATATCCCATCCTAAACTTTTGCAAGTACAGTCTCATGCCCAGACAACCAGTAGTAGTGTGATTCATGGTTTTAGCATGGATAGCAGCTGTTCATATTTTATTTTAGGGTGCATTGTTAATTCATATAGTTTACAACACAACTCAAAACTATTTGTCCACCTTATGCAAACTCTGTTTTATAGTTTGGAAAGATTAACGAGGCATATTGAAACTGGCTCTCGGTGTCTGGTTTATAATAGTCAAACATTAATTTTTTTTTTTAAATGAGCATTAGCAGTGGAGAAAAATACACACCATTCTTTACATTATGTGTGTTCTAGCTCTAAATGATTAAAACTACATCCATAGGTGCAGATATGAAGATTTGTTTATGTAATATATCTTCTCTCTTCCATATTTCCATCAGTAGTTTCCAAAATCACAGAGCCGGCATTTGTCACATGTAATGCAGTATATAATAACAAAAAGTTGTAGTAAGTGCCAGCATTTTTGTTCTGTTTCAATACAGGTGCTGCTAAAACCCATCCGTTAAAGTGCAGGGATATTACAATATTGAACTGCACCGTAAAACTATTTAAATTAAGGTTGTGCAAGTTCTTGTTGTTTGTCTTAATTTTGACTCCAAAATTGCCTTGGACAACACCACTGCCTGCGGCACCATGGGCACTGTTGTCCCTTTGCTATAATAGTGCCACCCTTGGGAATAGTGAGTGAAAACTGGCCTTTTTTATTTCAACCTTCTTTAAACCTGTTTGACTTCCTGAGGATTACAACAGGCTCTAGGGCAAGTCAATGGCATAGGGCTTAGGAAAGATAGTTTCCACAGCTGGTCCTAGGATTGCGTATATTCTGGAGCAGGACAACCATTACTTGCAATGAGTGTTTGCTGGCCTGGTTCTTAAGGTGGTTGAGAAAGCTGGAATTATGTGCAGAGTTCCTATTACAAATGGTGGCAGAAAGCAGCAGCCCACATCTGATTCCTGAATGACCAGCTGGTCCATACATCTTGCTCATTGCCTTAACTGATTCTATTTTTAGAAGAAAGATGGTCCATCTCAGGTTCAGAAACTCTTTAGTCTGAGTTGCCCAAGGACACCACAGTTGTTGATCAGATACGATTGGTGTGTTATAACTAGCATGTATCTTTTCATTAGTTTTCCTTCCTCAGTTTTCAGATATCAACAATGCTTTCAAAGCATTATGGCTTTGTTTTGGAGGTTTATTCCTTGGAGCTTTGTCTAAGTTTCTCTACAATGAACTGAATTTTTTAAAAAAGAAACATCAGTAGCTCAGTTTCATTGTGTGATGAGGCTTTGGTCCCGATTCCAGTCATCATCCATTAGTACTATTTAGTGTACCTACCCTGTTAGCAGGATGGAAAACTACTTCGAGTGTAAATTTCTGCATTTTTTACGCAGCTATAGATTTTCTGCAGTACTCATCTTTGTATAGACTTATGCACAAGTCTATACAAAGATGAGTATTGCAGAAACATCTATAGCTGCCTTAAAAAATGCAGAAATTTACACTCAAAAAGTAGTTTTCCACCTATTTGCCTGTGGAAGGATAGTTTTAAAGGCACATCTGTTGACCCACAACAGAAAAAAATTCCCTTAGTTTGTTTTGTCATTCAAATTAGTCTGATTTAAAATCTCAATTTATCAAATTCTGTTCTCATTTAAGGGCAGGAACACACATTATTATATTCTGAATGTGACACTGACAAAACCAACCTAATGTAACTGTCTTTTTCTTTGCCCTGTTTTTCCTGAATGATTTTACTAGCCATCAAATATCAGTTACTCTTTGCACCTAGCCTTAGATTGTTCATAATTTCAGTTCATCTAAACAGTCTATGAGCTACCAGGTTCTGCTGCTGCAGAATGAGATGGTAGATTATGTTTGACATTTCTTTGATGTCAGGTTTCTTGGTTGTTAGTGTTGTCTCTTATTGTATGATAAAGAAAATTTGTATTTGAGCCTGTTAGAATTAACTACATAATTAATTAGTTTAAAAACCACCCAAGTGCCTAATATAACTTGAGTAGAGAGGGTTCCCCAGGTCAGTGTAGATAAAGATTGTTTTCATAGAGTTGAATATAATCAGCAGATAAATTAAATGTATTACAAATTATTTTTAGTCCTAAGTCTATATTTATCATTGTCATCTGCTGCCTATTGGGTGAGAGAAAATTGTCTACCCACTAATGAAATACAAAGTTTTAAAGGAAAGTAGGAAAACAAGAAATTTGAATATTGACTATTATTTTAATTTGTCACTTGTCAGCTGGATGCTAATTCTGTCCTGCAGTCTTTATCTTTAACAAGATTATTGTATAACCCTTTTAGAGACAGAAAATCATAAATTAAATGATTGGTTGATTTGAAACTCATTAATTAAATATAAAACAGAGCTTTTACTTTTATGTTCTCACCTAAGGCTCATAACTCGCTCTTCCTAAGATGATTTTGGTTGCTTTTAAAAAGTTTTATAACCCACCATAAACCGTAGCACCTGTACTATTACTAATGCTGATGTAACTATGCTGTAAGCCTGAGGACCTAGATTGAACCATAGTTGAAAATCACATTGTATAGAATGGCATCTTGATAAAAACCAGTTCTCACTGGAATTTAAATTTTCTACCAAGTCTGAAGGACCTAATTGGTCTGGGAAGTAGCAATCTGAATTGGAAGGTGTCTTTTAGTAGACAGAGAACAGAAATTAACACACACACCCTCCCCCCAAAAAGTCCCTTTTTCTTGCTGGGTAGTTTAACAGGAATTTCTGCATAGAATGGCATTTACTGCTCTTACCTGCTACTTAAAGGCAAAGTCCCCCTCGGCGATGACATGGCCACATTGCCTTTGAGGCAACCGTACAGAAGTAGGTTGCCACTGACTTGTCCTAGGATATTTTTCAACTTCCTAGTCTAGACTACAGCCCTTGAATTTTCTGGTGCATTTCCATGCACTAAATATGTGTGAACCTGCTTAGCTTTTTTGAGATGAGCCAAAGGTGTTTAGGAGCTGCTGCTTCTTTAGAAACTAGGCAATTGCCCATTCTAACGGTACTTGTCCTAAATAAAGATTCTTACACACAATTCTTGATTAATAGAGCACGTACTGGTTATACATATAAAACAAGCTAGAAGACAGGTTGTAAGAGAAACATCCATATCCCCAAGAGCAGAGCGTTAGTCCACTTCCATTATCCTGGTCTGGTCATCCTCTTTCAGACACTATCAGCTACCCCCAGCCCCACCCCTCCCCAAAAAAGTGGAAAGAGCAGGAGTCCTTTCACAAGCTTGCACTGAGCAATGACTCTCTCTCGTTCATTGACAGCGGCATTCTGTTGGGGGAAGAAAAGAGAAGATATGTGCACATACACACATGCACTTGTACATAGTGTGCTACACACAGACCTAAGTCCTCACTTTAGTTCATTGGAAAATATAAAATAGGCCATCCCACTATCCCACGGTGTTTGATTTCAGCTGCATCACAATATAAATAACCAGTGTTTTTTCCTCACTTGGATTTGAATAGTTAACCGTGGCAAAAAGGACAAAAAAAAAAAATAGAGTGCAGATTAAAGAGGAAATTTCCAGTCTTTGCTTCTCAGGAAAAGAGGAATAATCAGCATAAATGCAAAGCTAACCTTTGCTCACTGTGTTTAGTATAATTAGTCATGTTTTGTTGTACTTGATGCCAGGGGCCTTGATCTTTTATTCTTAAAGGTGCTGTTTTTATATGTTGAATTTTTCCCATTCTGCTTGAAAACGTTAAACATAGATGGTTTGAATATTAACAGTTAATAACTGGTTAGCAGGTTGTTTCTCCCTCCTTTTTTAGTTGAGAGCCGAAAGTTTATCCGTATTTATTTGATATCTTAATAACCCATCACTCAAACCTTATTTATACCTTTCAATAAATGTAGTAATTCTTTTACTGAAAAGTTTCCTTTGCATGAGGACTTCTTCTCTGAAAGTTGACTTCATGGGTAGATAGCTTCTTGGGTTGATTTTCAGTTCCCACCCATCCCTGTCAGCATGGCTAGGGTTTAAGGATTCTAAAAGTTATAGTTTAAACCAATGTTTTTCAAACTTGGCCACTTTAAGATGGGTGGACTTCAGTTCTCAGAACTCTGGGAGTTGAAGTCCATGCATCTTCAAGTAGCCAAATTTGAAACACACTGATTTAAAACTTCAGGAAAGTATCAAATGATGTATTCATTTATCGCTTCTTTGGCCCAAGAAAGGTGAGCTGACTTGCCAGATACAATGAAGGC